AAGATCCTGCAAGCTGCACGGCGTGGCCAAAAAAAGAAAAAAAAAAAGGTCAAGGCCTCACGGGCCCAGCCGCTCCGCGGCACGTGGGATCTTCCCAGACCGGGGCATGGACCCATGTACCCTGCATCGGCAGGCAGACTCCCAACCACTGCGCCACCAGGGAAGCTCCAACTTAGCATTTAATAAGCTAGATTCTTCATGCAAAACTTCAAACCGGGAGAACTCTCAGTCCATCTGTGAAAAGCAAACAGATTTTATTTATTGAGACCTTAGGAACAAAGCAGCCCCTTTTAACTAGTAGCCTTGGGAATAGGAAACATTAATAACAGTTCATAGAATGTACTCTTTTGGCTCTTTGTCCAGAAGTGACTAAAATATCCAAGATTCAAACCTGGTTTTGTTTGTTTTTAATAAGATTCATGTGAAATGTTTGTTTCATTTTCATCATCCTCATCATTGGTGAGAAAGGGAAGCTGGAGGGACCAGTAGTAGTAGAAGGGCAGTGGACAGAGAAAGTATTGAGACAAGTGGACAAATGGAGAAATGCCAGAAGGGGTCACTGAAGTAGAAAAGTGAGTGGCCAGGTCAGAAAATAAATCTGCAGAGCCAAGTTCTGAGCAAGAGTTTAGAGCCGCAGAGTCTACCTCGCAGATGGACCCCAATGGCTCTTCCCCCCAGAAGGAAGGTCAGTGTGGCATAAAGGATCACATAGGGTTCCCTTGACTTTGATTTCACTCTGTATCTTAGTTTTTCTGCTAGGTGTGCCCACAGGTGGGAGGGCTTATTGCAGTTCTCAAAAACCATTTTAGGTAGGGCAGGGAACTGGCTAATGAAAGCAGCTGCCTGAGGAAAGATTTCATGATCAAAATTTTTTAAGGGAAATAATAATACTTCAAGAAAATGATTTTTTTCACAATTTAAGATGTTGATTTAAAAAATAGACTTAAAATAGGTTACTCTATGGACATAAATTCAACCTTGCATTGGCTGCATTCAGAATAATAATCCAAAGTCTGCTCACAGGATAGTGTCATGGGAGAGCACTGGCAGAGCAATCTGGGTTCTAGCCCCGCCTTTGCCCTTTGCTTACTGTGTACATCTCTATCCAGCTGTATAGTGAAGGCTTTGGGACTTGAAGGTCTCTTGCTGTCAACGCTTACATACTGACATGTTCTTTGGGTCTCTGAGGTTTTTGTAGATCCTAACCTCAGTTACACTGTAATTTTGATTTATAGAGTAAGATGAGTGGGGTGAGGGAGCTGCTATATGGAGTCACATTGAGTATTAATATTGGTGGCAGAAGATCAAAAGAGGCTTGGGGGCTTCCCTGGTGGCGCAGTGGTTGAGAGTCCACCTGCAGATGCAGGGGACACGGGTTCGTGCCCCGGTCCAGGAAGATCCCACATGCCGCGGAGCGGCTGGGCCTGTGAGCCATGGCCGCTGAGCCTGCGCGTCCAGAGCCTGTGCTCCGCAACAGGAAAATAAAAAAGAGGCTTGGTATAAACCCAACTGAGTATAAACCCTCAGTTACTGCCCACTTTTGCCACTAGATGGCGATCAGACATTTGAAAGACTTAAGAATTGACTAGCTAAGACCCTGATGGACCATCTTAAGAAATGAAGAAACTGTCCGCCAGGGCTGTAACTCATGTGTGTCTTAAGCCCTGTCAAACTAGTCAGCAGTAGTTTTAGCAGTGAAAAGGTAGAGTTACCTATAGTTTATACCTTAGGTAGAGTTACCTAAGGTTAAGAATCTTTTATCAAAGAGGGGGATATGATAAAATCATGATACGTGAAAAGTAAGCAACAGAGAATTGATGAATTCATCAAATACCAGTATACTTGAGTGAAGGACCATTCTTTTTTAAATTTAATTTCATTTTTTACTGAAGTATAGTTGAATTACAATGTTGTGTTACTGCTGTACAGCAAAGTGACTCAGTTATACATATATATACATTCTTTTCCATTATGGTTTATCACAGGATATTGAATATAGTTCCGTGTGCTATACAATAGAACCTTGTTGTTTATCAATTCTGTATATACCAGTTTGCATGGTATATATACTATGCAACCCCAAACTCCCAATCCAATGCTCTCCCACCCACCTCCCCCTTGGCAACCGCCAGTCTATTCCCTATAAGGACCATACTTTGAAACCTTAAAACTGGTAAAGATAAAGAAAGAGATGTAAAAATGGTATTAACACTAGAGGTGCTGTCACGTGGAAATATAAAAGTTTTTAGTTCAACAAGTTAGAGTAACGCTATGCATGCAAGGTCTATCAGTGAACATTAAGGGAAACGAGAAATGCTTAGGGAACATCTCTGAGCTCTGGATGTGACATCAAGAGAGACAGCTGAGCCCTTCTATATCAGCGGTTAGCAAACTTTTTCTGTGAAGGGTCAGAAAGCAAATATTTTAGGCTTACCAGCCAGTTTAGGCTTACTGTCCACTCAACTCTCCTATTATAGTGTGAGGTAACCATATACAATATGTAAATGAATGGGTGTGACTGTGTTCCAATAAAACTTTACTTACAAAAACAGGCAGCGGGCAAGATTTGGCCTGGGTGCCATAGTTTGCCAACCCATTTGTGGGTGAAAGCTAGGGTCCATAAGTAGTTCTCCTTTCTAGGCCTCAGACTCTGGCTTCTGTCAAATGAGTTGGATTAGCTGATCTCTGACATTTTTCAGATTTTGTGTCCTTTATACCTCTCTCTGAAGCTAAGTGATCCACAAGGCTGACCCAGAGTGATATTTCTTTTATTTTTAAGATCAAATTAAAAAAAAATCAAGCTTGAACAAATTTGTAAGTTTCTAGAGCAGAATTTCTCAACCTTGACACTACTGACATTTGGGGCCGGATAATCCTTTGTTGTAGGGGAGCTGTCTTATGCATTGTAGGATGTTTAACAGCATCTCTAGACTCCTCTACCTACTAGATGTCAGTTCAGTAGAACACCCCAACCCCCCCGTGTTATGACAACCAAGAATGTCTCCAGACATTGCCATATGCCCCCTGGGAAGCAAGATTACCTCCATTTGAAAACCACAGCTCTAGAGACTTTAAGAGTAACTGGAAGAATAACAAAAATGGAAATCAGGCCATGTAACCCAGGACGGCCACCAAGATAATAAACATACTTCTTTAGGAACAAGGCCAAAAAAGCCAAAACCAAGAGGAACCAAGAGGAACAAGAGGAACAACCAGCATATTAGAAAGAGAATGGCAGGGAATTCCCTGGCGGTCCAGTGGTTAAGACTCCGTGCTTTCACTGCTGAGGGCCCTGGTTCCACCAGGAAACTAGAATCCCACAAGCCTCTCAGCTCAGCCAAAAAAAGCAGAGCAAACAAAAAAAAGAAAAGAGAAGGGCAATGAGAATTTTATTTACCCAGTTAAGAGGGGCTGGAAAGTTGGTAGCAGATGACTTTTTTTTTTTTTGGCTGCACCAGGTCTTAGTTGCCACGTGTGGGATCTTCAGTTGCTTGCAGCATGAGGGCTCTTTTAGTTGCGTCATGCGGGATCTAGTTCCCTGACCAGTGATCGAACCCGGACCCCCTGCATTGGGAGCTTGGAGTCTTAACCATTGGACCACCAAGGAAGTCATGGTAGCAGATGACTTTTTAATATTGATTTAGATCATTTTATTGAAAGTGTTCCTGAAACCATTGAACCAAAATAGAGGGCTACGTATAATGGGTAGCTGAAAAGTCAAACTAAAACAAAGAAACATGGATGAAGAGAAATATAAAAAAGACAACTATTAAAGAATACCAAGAATATTTACTTTTCACTATTTTATATTATTTGATGAGATCTCTAACAGAAAGAATTCATAGTGGGTGAATTCATTAGCCCTTATCTATGGGTCCTGGGTATTTTGTTTTGCTTTGGATAAATCAAGTGTGGTTTATTCCTACAGTAGAATATTATTTAGTAGAGAAAATGCAGTACAGCTTTACACAACTACATAGATGGATCCTTGAAGCTAGGTTTTAAGTGTCAGTAAAGCTGATCCTTTAATAAGTCTAGATCATGTAGCCAGCTTGGAAGTTAGTTGCAAATAAAAGCCAAAATCATCTCTATTCATTAATAAGGGTGTACTTGTTTTCCATCTACCTTTTATTTATGCCCATATTCTTTTAAGAATTTATTCTCTTCCAAGTGTGATATTAATCATAGTCTACAAGCCCTGATTATCCAAATAGCATTGTACAAGGAAGTTTTTGTTTGTCTTGTTTTGTTTATTTTCCTTACAATGACTTTAACACAGTGTGATATTTTCCGAACAGTGATCTAAGAGATCTAAAAACATTAATTCTAGTCTCAGATTCAACTTTTGACTTGCTCTGTGACCTGGGGCAGTCTCTCCCCTGCTAAGGAAATGGTTTCTTTATCTGTAATATGGTAGAGAGATTCCCCAACTCTGGCCCCAGGATGTCTGCATAAGAATCATCTTTGAGGCCTTGTTTTAAATTTAGATTTCTGTCCTTCATTCCCAAATTCCAATTCTGTAGTCTAGGGTAAGGCCTAGGAAGCCCAGGTGTTCTAGTGCATGGCCAGGTTTGAGAACAATTAGAGGTGATCTCCAAGGTCCTTTCAACTCTAAAATGCAGTGGTTATATGAAATATGTATTTCCCTAAATAACCTTTATTATTTTCTGAAAGCTTTTTTATGTTCTACAAGAAACAATTGAGATTACTATATTGTACTTTCCCCACATACACACATTGGTACAGCTTTATATAAACTTGGTTTGCTATAATGTGGTCAGCTTATGGCTTGGGTGATAATCTTGATCCCCAAAATGTATTAGAAGATGGTTTCTCTTTTCACCAGAATGCTATATCATAGTTTCTTTGTTTTTAATCTTGGATTTAGAGAAGGATTAAATAGTTTGATATCCTGATTTCCATATAACTATAAAAGTGGAATAAAATTAGAAATTCTATGTGGTTGTTAATTTCTGTTTTTTTTTTCCTTTAATTTACAGAATGCTCTTTTCAGTTGCATTAGCAGAAATGAAAGTAAGTATATTGTTGATGGTTATGCAAGCAATCCAAAGAGAAAAACATGGTTTACAGAACATGATTTAGCTGTTATAAATATTGCCAAAACTCTGACCTTATAACTTAGGCTGTTACTAAACCGTCTGAAGGAATGTGCACAGCAGGATTCTGATAGGCTCTTTCCTCTGGAGTGTTTGGGCCATTCATGAATTCTAACAATTCCCATGTCCTAATTACAGATTTATAAAGCAGATATCAGTGCTGGGTGTTTTAGAGGAAGATCATGCCCCACTTGGATAAACAGAAGTTGAACACTCCCACGTGATATAAACAGAAGTTGAACACTCCCACGTAATATAACGTAATATAATTGCAGCACTAGCTGAGGGCTGCCTCTCAGTTCATTCAGCAGATATTCACTGACTACTTGCTCTGTGCAGGGCAGATGCACACCTGTGGGGGACACAACCTGTACACAAAGAACTCTGGGACGTGGTGGGTATGGGATAGAGTTACTGATAAGGTGCCACGGGAGTTCAGAGGAAGGAGGGATCACATCTTGCAGGGGTGCTTAGAGGTGACTTCATGGAGTTGGTAGCTGAACTGGGCCTTGAAGGATGGACATGATGTGAGCAGTAGAGGTTGGAGGAAGGGAATTCCAGCTGAAGGGAACAGCGAGAGCAGTTGGAGATGGGGAAACACGTGTGAGGAGTAAAGAGTTGTTAGGTGAGCTTGGCAGTGGGGTGTATTAAAGTATAAGAAACATTAGCTGTCTGTACTTTATCTTCTACTCTTTCTAACTGGGGTTTAGTTCAAGATTTTCCAGATAGCGTTTAGCACATAATCCTTTATCCTCCCACACTGTGAGGAAGCCAGCCAAATTGGGGCATCAGAAGACAGGCATCTTTGTCCTATTCTCACTTGTCTCCTCTGTCCTCAGCATCCCTCACCCCTGCCCCCAGTTTTAGCTTCATTGAGGTTGACAATGATAAATGTAGCCATTAATGATTGTTCTTTGTGATTAAAATGAACAATTCAGCAATGAACAATGTAAGTTTGTTAGTAATTTCAAATCAGAAACTTAGCTGGCACAATAGGTATGAAACAGTTTCCTTGTCCAGGAAAGAGGCTTGTCTTGCTATCAGTGTAGTCCTACTTTAGTTCATTTGTATATGATTTTATCATTATCATTATTTCTGGAAGTCACCTGAGTTCCCTGCTCATTCCTTGGTCTGTGGAATCCACCAGAAACCTGATTCTGGTTCCTCTATAACCATCCCTAATTATTATCAGAGGTTTCCTACCTGCCATTTTCTTAACCTTTTCCAGCCATACCTCTACCCTTTTGGCTCCCTTTTGGCTCCCTTCAGCCTCCCACAGACCCCTTAGCCTCTCCTATGAGGACCTCTTGTTCTTCATTATAAATCCCACATCTGCACCCCCAGCCACTCATCCTGCTCTTCCCAGATACCTTAAATAGTCCACCTTGATTTTTAAAAATACATACGTCCAGAATCGTTTATTCCAAATGTGGGTTTTACTTTTCAGTGTTGAAGCAAGTCATATCAGTTTTGAGGTGAGCACTTTCAATTTAGGCATAGTCTTGGAGATTTTCAAACAGTATAGAACTTTAGGGATTTTGTTTCAAGATGTACAGTTATATAATTTGCAAATTTATGAAGTGGTCCTGATATCTCTTGGTTTTTACTGGTCCTATTTTATAAATGTGAGGTATTTGGGGTTTTGTTTTATTTTGATATGTTTGATTTGTTTTGCTTTGGTTTGCTTTGTTTATGAATCTCCACAGATCCAACGTGGAAGGAAGCTGTTCCAGTGGTTCTCAACATGGGTGCTATTAGCATTTTGGGAGACAGTTTCGATTATATGAGACTTTCCTGTACGTTGCACAGCCCTGACCCCCATGTGCTAAATGCCAGCAGTCATCCTTAAGTCATCATGAAAACCAGAAACACTTCCACATGCATCCAAATTCTCCCAGGGGCTGGTACTGCTCCTGCTGAGAACCACTGCACTATAGACTATAAGTTGACAAATAATGACTTTCTCAGACCAGTGAGCACCTGAATGTCCCCATGGCCATGCTTATAGTAGTGCTGACTTTAACTACGTGTCTTCTATGGCATGGTTTTATTTCTGAAATTCAAAAAGACACATATTGTTCCATCATTATTATGATGATTTAATGTTAGCAAATAGCTGATTTCATTTCAATGTAATCTTTTTTTTTCCCCTAGTGGGCTCAGTTTGTTGCAGTTATGCAGGCCATCACACAAACTGCCGAGAATACTGTCAAGCCATTTTTCGAACAGACTCTTCTCCTGGTCCTTCTCAGATCAAAGCAGTGGAAAATTATTGTGCCTCTATTAGTCCACAATTAATACACTGTGTAAACAATTATACCCAATCTTATCCAATGAGGAACCCAACAGATAGTAAGTAAAAGCCACATATTCCTCTTATTTCAATCTTGGTAAAATAATTTGTAAAAAAAAAAGAAGTAAATTCTTGAAGATATCTACAGTCTGGGTCATTTGGGAAATACCAGGCTTCCTTTGGTCTTTAGATTTGGCAGACTGGACATTATCATCACAGCTAAAAGATGCCAAGAAAGACAGGGCTGTCAAGGGTATGAAGAAACAGGCACTCTCTATTCTGAAGTGGGAAAATTCACTGGTATGGATACTTTAAGAGGGAAAATTGGGTTATGCCCATGAGACTTTCAAATAATCATACCTTTTAATCTAGCAATTCTATTTCTCAGAAATTATCCTTCACAAAAACTCACAAATTTTCAAAAATACATCTATACATATAAAGGATGTTTACTACAACATTGCTGGTATAGAGAAAAATTTAAAATGACCTAAACATCCACCAATAGGATATTGATTAAAGTTGATTAAATAAATTATATATCTGTATAATAACTACATTATACAATCAACATACTGGAAGATGTATTATGTAAATCAATGAAGTTAGAACACTCCCTCACACAATACACAAAAATAAACTCAAAATGGCTTAAAGACTTAATTATATGACATGATACCATAAAACTCGTAGAAGAGAACATAGGAGAAACATTCTCTGACATAAATTTTAGCAATATTTTCTTAGATCAGTCTCCCAAGGCAAAAGAAATAGAAGCAAAACAAACAAATGAGACCTACTCAAGCTTATAAACTTATGCACAGCAAAGGAAACCATAAACAAAATGAAAAGACAACCTGTGGACTGGGAGAAAATATTTATAAACAACACGACCAACAAGGGCTTAATTTCCAAAATATACAAACAGCTTATACAACTCAATATCAAAAAAGTAAACAACCCAATCAAAAAATGGACAGAAGACCTAAATAGACATTCCTCCAAAGAAGACATACAGATGACCAGCAGGCACATGAAAAGATGGTCAATATTGCTAATTGTTAGAGAAATGCAAATCAAAACTACAATGAGTGAGAGGGCAGACAGCAGAAGCAAGAAGAACTACAATCCTGCAGCCTATGGAACAAAAGCCACATTCACAGTAATATAGGCAAGATGAAAAGGCAGAGGGCTATGTACCAGATGAAGGAACAAGATAAAACCCCAGAAAAACAACTAAATGAAGTGGAGATAGGCAACCTTCCAGAAAAAGAATTCAGAATAATGATAGTGAAGATGATCCAGGACCTCGGAAAAAGAATGGAGGCAAAGATCGAGAAGATGCAAGAAATGTTTAACAAAGATCTAGAAGAATTAAAGAACAAACAAACAGAGATGAACAACACAATAACTGAAATGAAAAATACACTAAAAGGAATCAATAGCAGAATAACTGAGGCAGAAGAACAGATAAGTGACTTGGAAGACAGAATGGTGGAATTCACTGCTGCAGAACAGAATAAAGAAAAAAGAATGAAAAGAAATGAAGACAGCCTAAGAGACCTCTGGGACAACATTAGACGCAACAACATTTGCATTATAGGGGTCCCAGAAGGAGAAGAGAGAGAGAAAGGACCCAAGAGAATATTTGAAGAGATTATAGTTGAAAACTTCCCTAACATGGGAAAGGAAGTAGCCACCCAAGTCCAGTAAGTGCAGAGAGTCTCATACAGGATAAACCCAAGGAGAAACACGCCGAGACACCTAGTAATCAAATTGGCAAAAATTAAAGACAAAGAAAAATTATTGAAAGCAGCAAGGGAAAAATGACAAATAACATACAAGGGAACTCCCATAAGGTTAACGTCTGATTTCTCAGCAGAAACTCTGTAAGCCAGAATGGAGTGGCATGATATACTTAAAGTGATGAAAGGGAAGAACCGACAACCAAGATTATTCTACCCAGCACAGATCTCATTCAGATTCGATGGAGAAATCAAAAGCTTAACAGACAAGCAAAAGGTAAGAGAATTCAGCACCACCAAACCAGCTCTACAACAAATGCAAAAGGAACTTCTCTAAGTGGGCAACACAAGAGAAGAAAACGACCAACAGAAACAAACTCATAACAGTTGAGAAAATGGTCATAGGAACATACATATCGATAATTACCTTAAACATGAATGGATAAAATGCTCCAACCAAAAGACACAGGCTTGCTGAATGGATACAAGAACAAGACCCATATATATGCTGTCTACAAGAGACCCACTTCAGACCTAGGGACACATATAGACTGAAAGTGAGGGGATGGAAAAAGATACTCCATGCAAATGGAAATCAAAAGAAAGCTGGAATAGCAATACTCATATCAGATAAAATAGACTTTATTTTAAAGTCTATTTTA